GTGAATGTGTTTCTCACAACTACCTTGTGTTTGGACATGGGGGAAACCAACATTTTTAGAGAGACTCTGCTGTGCTGGAAGATTTACATTTGACATTTCATATAACCCATAGGAAATTGGATGTGAGTGGAAGCAAGTGAAGGCTGGAAAAGACCTAACTTCTTAATCCTCTCACCACCCACAAGCCTTTGTAGTATGAGTATAAAGAAGAAGGCTGGGGTTTGAGGAATGTGATAAATATTTGGTGAACCCTGGGCCAGTCACTCAAGATGTGGAGATTAATATTTTGTATGATTTCCACTTTTGTGACAAGGCAATTTGATAGGAGGAAACAGACTTAATGCACTGTACTATGGGATATTATATGTGAAATGACCGAACGAGGCTTTCAACTCATAAGTCAGGCATGTTGTACCTCTGCTCGGAATTCTCTACCAGCTCCTCATTTTACTCCAGTGAAAGACAAGATGATGATCAAGTCAGTTTTCCATCTACTTTCCCACTCTGGCCACCTGGCCCTCACTGCTGGTCCAGTCAACATGCCAGGTTGACATCCAACAGCCACGGCCTTTGCTGTCCCCCAGACAGAGGCACAGCTCCTGACTCTTCTCCTCTATTGTCTTTGCCCCAGAGTCATGTCATCTGCTCCATGAGGCCCCATGTACCACACCCATCCCGAACAGCAGAACCTGCTTATCCTCATCCGTATCCATTCCCTCCTCTCTGAATTCATCATCTGCTAACAAACTATACAATTCACTTATTCACTTTATTGATTTTCTGCACTCCCGTCGCTGCTGCTAGAATAGACAGGCCTTGAGGACAGGGACCATGTCTGTTCTCTTCTCCATGGTAAGCAAATATACAGCTCAGCACACAGTAAACACACATAACATCTCGAAGGCATCAAAGAATAGCCTATATATATATATAAATGTAACGGAAAAAACAGCTCTATTTTGATTGGGGGCACCTACCAGGAGCTACATGAAAGCTAAGGTTGACTTGGAGGAAGAAGGGAGGGATGGAGGGATAGTCTACACACCTGGATGAGAAGGGGAGCTGGCAGGATAGCTAAGTGGAACACGGTGGTGGGGCAAAGGATAACTGAATCAGCTCAAGTGACTTTCCAGAAAGGCACTGGGATCTGATGGGAAGGGTCTTATACTCTCTCCTCCAGCTGAGTCCCGTGAATTCATCTTAGAGTCTGAGGAGAATGACTTCAAAGACTTCAGTTAGGGTCACGCCAGAGAACTAGAATTCTCTGGTAATTTTGTGACTCAGCTTGACCCAGTACAGTAATGCAGACCATGCACCAGGGCCTGATATGAAGCCTGGTGATGATAACCCCACAAACATTTATCATGCTGAATAAACTAGTATTGGTTAAAAGCTGACACCCAAATCTTTGAATATTTGTGATACTCCTTTGAAATTATACTCTGACATGATTTATGAGCCAGATAGAAAACCATTTGCTTTACTTTAGAATTACACATTTTTTTTAGGTTCCCTAAAGTGAACTGTTTTTGTGTTACTTGGTTACTGACCTTATTAACCTTGTCTGGCATCTGTGAGCCATTATTTGAACTTTCATAGCCCTTTTGGCACTTGATGATGACAGGATATTCTAAAATTTAATATAGCTTGGCAGAAGTGAGCTTGAACACTATTTAGAATATTGAAAAGAATGTGTCACAGGGCTCTGGGAAACGACTGGAAGACGGGGATTCTCGGGACAAGTTGAGCAAAGGAGATGTTATGGGGATGACATGTGACCTCCTTATTTCAAGGGTAGCACACTAAAGGCTGAGTAAAAGTACTGGTGTACTTGTTCAGCATTTCTCTGACATGATTGTGAAATCACGCTAAAACATGCCTTTCATATTGCAGCATGCTGAAGCTGAGAGTGAATCATGGTACCCAGATGTGATGCTCTGCTTAAATAAATAGGATTCAGCAATCCATCAGTAGCCTCCATCCTGTTAACCAAGTGGATTAGAACAACCCCCTTGTTTGAATATTCAGACTGCAACCACCCACTGGTCAGATAAATGAGTGCAGACCAGTAACCTATGACTCTAACTGAAGTTATCACCTTGAATATGCACATTGATAGATGCCTTCAAATGCACAGCTTTGATATCTTCACAACCTAGTTACAGTTTCTGATTAAACTTTAAAGCAGACTTTTAATGTGAGGCCCAATCTGTCCTTTGAGCTACTGTTTTACTCCCATGGCAACTGGTAGATGATAGAATTAACTCCAACAAGTGGAACTCCAACGTGGAAGATAAATCAGCATATTGCTGCTCTACACGTATAGAGTTCTTACTAGGATCAAGCTGTAGATACATTTAATTGAAACAGTCAATATATAAAAGGAAACCTATGAAACACTCCCTCAAAATGATTAGGCTTCAATTCAGTCAAGATTCTGTTCCCATTCTTACTGCTGCTACCTTAAAATGGTGCCTGGCAACTCTTCTAAATGCACTGAGTTTGAGTTTCTGCATATTTAAGATGTAAATGATAATTTAAATTTAAAATGTAAATGTGGTGGGGATTAAATAAGAGGATGTATGTAAAACAGATTACTTCCGGGTCTCAGTAAATGGTAACTATTGATTTTATAAATAAGAAAGCTTTGTTTTAATAGTCCTCACAGAGCTATGTATGAACTGAGTGCATAAGATACTCACACGTTAACCTGATAATGAACTGATTTTTCTCTTGATACTGATTTTTCCATTTTCCATGATGCTCAGCTATGGGAAATGTGATTTTTTTTCATTTGACTTAATGTTTTAACTCAAATTACAGGGTCTTAAATATTTATGAGACGATGCCAAGCATGAGTGTGAAATGAGTTTAAGATAAAATAAAGGAGAGGGAGAGCTGTACTGCTTCACTAGCTCCAGGTCTCATAAGTTCTAGGGAACTGGCCAAGGCTGAATTCAGAGCTTTCATAAGTNAGGAAAGAAGGGAAAAAAAAAAGGTCTGTAATCATTTATTTACTCCCAAAGAATTCAAAATTACATATATCCCACCACGATCAGTATATCATGGTCAGAGAGAGGTCAGTATAGATGGGAAGATTAAAAGAGGGTTCAAGAATGGGATGCTATTTAGAGGAAAATAAATCTGTACCTAGAGAAAAAAATCCTATAGCTTCATATTTTAATAAAAAAAATGAGACTAAAAAAGATCTAATAACATTTTCTATGCTAATAACATCACTCAATACTTCAAACATTATATAATGTTTTTACATAAGCAAATAAGAACTATTTTGCATATATGATAAATGAAAGTATATAAAATAATTTTTTCTAATTAATTAAAAAACTGTTTTTTAGACATTCCCTCTTGTGTCTTATCAGATTTCTGTAAGGGAGATAGAACAGACCAGTGTTTTCAAGAGCAGTGATCCAGGAGCTGGGAACTAGCACAGTTCCAGGGTTAGTCTGTGTGTGTGGAACTGGATGCAATGAATTCAAGGTCTTTTCCTTCTTGAGCATCACACACCACCAGATCTTTGAACTAGAGTCACACCCTGGACCCCCATGGGGCAACGGGCCCCTCACAGTGGAATGATTTATTTACCATTCCACTTTATCCACATCACCTTGACATCACAAGAAGGTAAAAGTTACACTGCCACTGATGGGCAAAGGTTTGGCCTGAAAAAGACAATCATAGATAATGGATAGCTGGGACAATCATTTAACTTTAAAATAACTGAAATGCATTGGGACTTTTCAGCTTATGCTTCATTTATGTACTATCACCTCAAAAAGGCATCTCAGGATGACTGCATGATGCCATTCTAACTTGCCTTGCCTCCTCTCTGCCAGCAGACATTTCTTGGTGGTCATATGGATGGTGATAAAAAATGAAAATAGCCCTGCCCTCGAGTGGTTTTCAGTTTTGTTGGGAAGATACATGGATGCCTAATAGCAATGAATTGGTGACAGAGATGGGTTTGGTTGATGCAGGAGCTTGGAGTAGGTAGTGTGCCTGGGCAAGGATTTCTGGCAGAGGAACTGCCCAATAAATGCAGAAAGGATGAAATTAAACTTGTCAGTTTAAGGGGTGCTTTTGGGGTTGTAGTTCATTCCAGGAATGATGCACAGAGATTAAGAGGGTCTCATGTCCCTTTATACTAAAAAATAAGTATAAAGTAGCTTAAAACAAGATAGCCCTTCAGTATATTAATTCTGGTGGGTTGACCAAATATAGCCTGCACCCCAAAATGATCAAAACTAAAGTATTAGGTAGTACACACACACACATAAATACACACACACACACATAAATACACACACATGTATATATCACAACATTTACAACAATTTTTTTCTTAATTGGGGCTGGTAACCACTTCTTTTTACCAAGAGTTGATTTTTAACTGCAGCTAATAAATGTGTACATTAAAACCACAAGAGCAAGTACGCATCTTAAGGAAACCACTGAGGGCCCATTTCAAAATCAAACTTGACAAAGTGTAATTATTCCAACTCAACCACAATTATTTTCAGGACAGTTCTGTATATGTATATGTGATGATGCATTTATACTATGTCCTTTATATGATTAACCCCAAAGAATAATTTCACACTTTTTTTTTTAAGGAGAGAGAATGTGTTTCAGGTACTCTCACAAACTCATCATGCACGTCATATTTATAATCAACACAGAAATAGGAACTAGCCATACATTTGCATATTCACCTAGGTAAGTGTATTTAAAGCAGAAAGAGCATGAGCAATTGACAGATATATCCCACAAAAAAGATGCTTGTAATTCGAGTTATTCTATAATCGTATCGTGTTATTCATTTCCTTCACTCACAGCACCGAGAGCATCTCTCCAAAGTTGCAGGGCCCTCGTAAAAAAGGCAGGCGGGGACACCATAGCCATCTGACAGCCCTGCTTCCCGCTTGGCCCCTTGGAGCCCAAGGATCAACACTGCAGAGCATCCCATCCCCAGCACGTACCTGGCTGAAACTCTGGCCCGCACCTCCGGCTTGTGTGCTGCGGGCGGGGAGCTGCGACGGGGCTGTCTCACCCAGAGCCAGGGTCTGGTTGCTATGGTAGCTGGCTGGATACTGGAAGGACCCTTCAGGTTTGGAATTGAGCTGAAGTGCACTCTGGGACAGCAGGCTGGGCCCTGCATTGAAAGTCATTTAGAGCAGTAAGTGACAGCCTCAGTGAAGCAGAAATGACATGTATTATTTATTGAGAGTAGCCTAGAATTATCACACGCGCATGATTCCAGCCATCTATGCTTTGAATTCTGAGAACTAAAATGACCATATAATTCGACTCCAGCTCTTAAATGAGATTTTTTTTTTTTTTTTTTTTTTTTGTGGTGTAAAAGTTCTCCAAAGAGTAGATTTTTCTTTTCCCAAATGATCTCATCCTGACCTACATAGAGACATTTCTTACAAGACAAATTAGTTAATCAAGTACTTATTTTTGGATCAGACAATGTTGGAAACATTTGAAATAATTTAGAAGTCTTCCTTTTGGTACATGTTAATTGCATTAATATATCTCCTCCTATATTAATAGGATGCTCGAACACTCAAAACCTTCCAATCAGTAACAAGTTCTGTTGTATAAATAGTGATGTAATACTCAAAGCTTGAAGGGTAGGCAGTGTGTAAAATATTAACAACTCTCATACAATGTAGAATTTAACCTGATCTCACATGATCTCTGAGGGCTAGTTATCTTTGCCATCACAGCAATGCACAGCAGAAGAACAAAGAGAAGATACAGTGTTCAAACTGGTGCTGCTAAGCTGGCTGACACTGCAAGAGATGGAGAAAGGAATTCCTGGCCTCATTATTTAGTTATACTTTGTACGAGAAAATGTCGTTTTTATTTTCTTTCTTTTTAGATGGGATCTTTGCAACAGTTTGCCCATTTCCTTTGTAAGCAAATTTTCTTTAATCAAATTTCATATTCACTTTGGGGATGAAAAGAAGTACAGAAGAGTTTAAGAGGATTACTGTTTTCTAGTATGTGTGTTTGAGAGGGGACTGGGGGAAGTAGAGTGAGTTGGGTGAGGGAGAGGGACTTGGCAACTCAAGTTCCCTCTTGTTACCTCAACCATAGCACAAAGTTACTCCCTTTTTGAAGGAGGGTAATTATATACACGGATTTCCCTGGTGGCTCAGATGGTAAAGAATCTGCTTGCAATGCTGGAGACCCAGGTCCCATCCATAATCCCATCCTTAATCTTCCTCTTCGGCTGTTTTAGACTATAGTATCATTTCTAAGAAGTGTAAGCAAATTTCAAGTTCCTTCTTTCTTTTAAAAATAGAACATGGCTTTTTATTTCAAATAAGACCGCAGACTTGACATGATATAGGCCATTTTTTCTTTTTTTCCGGGAAAACAATTTCTTCACTTAATAAGGATCAGTTCATATAACCTCTGCATTTAAGACCTCCCCCTTCCCTCTAATTCACTGATGGAACTTCTAAACAAAAACAAAATGCTTTTCCATCATTGGAAATTGAATACAAAGATGATTAGTTAGTACAGGTAAGACTTGGTATTTTGGAATCTATACAGTTTCTGGAAAAAAAAGTCAAGCAAGGAAATAAAACCATTTTCATCCAGTCCCAATTTCATCATGAAGGGTATAGCAAAAGTACAAATGCAATCCCTTTCCTTGTAATTTCAAAAATAGAGTCCCAAGAAATTTGTCTACACCAGATGGCGAAGTTTGCAATAGCTTGCAAAAAGCCGTTTAGTCCATACTGATGGTATTATAGGGCTAATCACCAGGACTACAGTGCATCTATGGGGAACGCATTCAGAGTTTCATTCTGGATGCCAAGAACATATTTTCCCCACTGCTGCTGTGGAAACTGTCAGGCATGAAGACAGAGTCAAGGGCTGGTCTCTGATGCCAGGTAATGGGTAGGCTGAGACATGGCAGAGCCTCTGGAAGGGAAGAGGGATCAGTGATGGGGCAGAGGTGGGAACTGACTGCAAAATTAGAAGGATGGGGTGGATGCTAGGAAGACAGCAATGAATTGTAGCCAAGGGCTTTGCCCTTGGTCCCTACCCTTCTGAAGGTCACTGCTCAACAGAGGGGAGTGAGCTATGGCAGAAAAGCAGAGGCCCTTTATGGTGAGTGGTCAGCATTGTACCTAACAATGGGCAGCTTCCCACTGTGATTTCTTTGGCTGTTTCTTTCAGGACAGTCCACCCTGACACAATGCCTTGAACTGGCCATGCACCACCCCCGCCCCCATCCCCCACCACGACAATGCATCTCCACAGCAATGAAAGTCAAAACAGATATACCAGAGTGCACAAACTTTTGGAAATGTCAATACAATTGTTAAAATTCTTTAATTTCATATAACTAATTTAACAGTCTATAAAGCCAAAACACTGTACGTCCTGGTTATTTGCCTTTTAAAGAGATGGCATGACTTTGCTTTGCTCTGATGAACTTACTTGCATATGTAATTAGCAAGTCAAACAAACTTGTCAGTTCTGAGTAGATTCATAAGATTATCTCTGGAAACCTACAAATGTTCTCCAGGCAGAATAGAAAGGTGGCAATTGAAAGCCCCCTTTTGAAGAAATTTCAATTAAAAATATGATTTACGTGCTCCTGAAATACACATCATGAAATAATCAAATCTGCTCTTTTATAGAATCAGTGGTGCATCTGATCAATACTCCATGAAAACAAACAAAGATTCTCTGTCTCATTACTTTGTTCACACATCTCAAGCATGGAGCCTAGATGTAGTCTGACAAACGCAATTGCGACAATGAGCAATATATCATAATATTACAACCCTGACATAGCACCTGGCAAGGACAAAACAGGATAATAGCCAAAACATCGCATGCATTTTAGAATCATTTTTCCTGTTGATTACTAGGTTTCAAGTGAATGGCGTTTATTCACTCCAATTTTAGAGAGCACAGATATACAAGAATATGAAAAAGGTGAAAATTAGAAGACAATTCTTAACTTCTTTATAATAAAAGTAAAATTTACGTATAACTAACTCAATTAACTTTATTAACATTACTGTGCACTGGGGTAGAAAATACAAATTTTTCAGAGATTTCAGAAGCATTTATAGTTTGGGGCTTTAAATGAAGATTTTTTTTTTCCTCACGACCTTACAACTTTCCATGAAGCCTTGCTTGGGTTAGAGGCAAAACGAGGCTGCATCCTTGAGGATATGATGTGAATCCACGGGGGAATGAGGACAACGTAAGAGGACTTCTTGGGATGTTCAGGGGGAGAGGAAGAGACTGGGTCTTAAAATTCCACCCAGGGAAATGGAATGTTGCTTTTAGTGCCATTAATTGCTCCAGAAGAATCTTGAACTACGAGCAACAGTTAGTCACCACGTCCTGTTAGAGCATCAAAAGCAGACGCCACCTTCCAGCAGGTGCGCCTTAGGACACGGACCTAAGGGGACTCGGTGAGTTCTTTGTCGCCTGTCGTGGGACAGTCCTCAAAGCTAAGCCCAGAGGTCCGTTCAAAATACCTCAGCCCTGGAAGCCAGAAAGCAGACAGGAAACTGTTTTCTGAGAAACGGATCAAAATCAAGGGTGTATGTGCCCTTGATCTGATCAAGACACACTAGTTCTACCTGGACAGTGGGGAGACATTCCAAGGGAACTGAAGAGTTCAGGGACATGGGACTCGCCGTTAAACCTAGGGGAGCATCCTGGCTGTCATACCAACGTCTCCATATGTTTTCAAATATACAAATTAATTAAAGATCATGTTGTTGTTTAGGCGCTGACTCATGTCCCATTCTTCTGCAACCCCATGGACTGTAGCCCACCAGGCTCCTCAGTCCATGGGATTCTCCAGGCAAGAATACTTCAGTGGGTTACCATCTCCTTCTCCAGGGGATCTTGCCAACCCAGGGAATCTTGCCAACCTAGGGATCAAACCTGTGCTCCTGCTTGGCGGGTGGATTCCTTACCTCTAAGCCACAAGGCAGCCCAAATACCACAAAATAACCTGCACTGAAAAAAAAGTCCTCGTATCTTTGTCACTATTCTGAGGAGTGTGAACAAGGGTGTGCAGAGGTCCGCCAGCGTCACACACTCGGTAAAATGAAGATGAAAAGCTGTTTTTGTCTTCAGTCTCCAACTCCGGGAGTTGTGGTTGGCTAACATCCAGGCAACTATTTAAGTTGTACACACACATCATCATTAATGGGTTGAAAAATTCCTCCCTAAGTAGAAGTCACTTTGTGGGGGAAACCTTCACACCTCAGGGAGTGGTACTGCTTCTTCAAAAAGCCTCTCCTTAGAGATTCCAGGTGTTGGCCAGGGGAAGCCTGCTGTCCACCAGGAGCGGGGCAGAAGTCAGTGTCAGCAGACAGAAAGGCAGAAGTGTTCGTTTCTTGCATTAAAAATTCACAGTCACTTACAGGTCGTATTAACATGCATTAAAATATATGGTCAGTTTCTCCTTGAATTGACTAGCTCTTTTAGTTTTCCTGCTCATGTGCACTCATTTTCTTTACATGGATTTAAAATAAAAAAATTATTTATTTGGCTGTGTCAGCTCTTAATTGCATCACACAGGATCTATTGTTGTGGCACGTGGACTCTAGTCGTGGCTTGAGGGCTCAGTCGGTAGTTGTGGTGTGTGGGCTTACACTGCTCTGAGAAACACGGGCTCTTGGTTCCCTGATCAGGGATCGACCCTGTGGTCCCTGCATTGAGAGCTGGCTTCTTAACCCCCGAACCACCACCAGGGAAGTCCCCTTTACATGAATTTAGAAAGACTTCCTTTAGAATTGTTAATTCTTCTTTGCTTTAGCGAGACAGCAGCTTCAGAAAACAGTAAGCCTTAATTAAACTATGTACTTTGCTATAACAGAGAAAACGCCAGAGGTTTACAAAGTGGCATTCCCAAGTCATTATTTGGATTAAATTCATGCCTGCTGGAGTGGGTGTGTGTTGGAAAAAAAAAAAAAAAATCCAGGGCCAGAACACAGCAGATCTGGTGGACTCTAGTCCATTTCCTCATGTATGACATCATAGATGATGAAGGCAAGGACAGCAAACCAGCTCCCCTTCCCTGAGGGCTTACGAAGCTCCAGGGAATGCCCTGAGCAGCTTATATCTATTAATCCCTGGAATCCTAACAGGATC